TTTTTTTATGGAAGTAAATGTATGCTGTTTAAAAACCTCGCGATTGCTGAACAAGAAAACGACACATTCATATTCCAATGCCGAGGTTAATAGAAAGTCGATCCTGGGAACTATTACAAGTTGTTAACAGACTTAACAACTTTACGAGAAAGTATTACGACATTCAGCCTTAAACATAAAGCCTATACTGGCATGAAAATGTTTATAAATGTAAGTTCCGAATAGCATTCATCTTATCACCAGAAGCAATGCGGTAGGTTGCTTTTCCAAACCAGGTTTATATTTGGGAGAATTTTTTAAAAAATGTTCCTGGACGTATTCCTACGATCTGGCGTTATTTGATATGACGACGGTTTAAAGCAGTTATGTCTGGCTTTTATGCAGACTTTCTCGTTCAGTTGAATTTTTCACTTGAATGAAGCAGGTAAGATAGTAGGCATCCGATAAGAAGGAAATGAAGATGTTATGAAAGTACCGCTTTTTTGGCAAAAAGTTGACTGATTGCGGCTCAATTTTTCCGGTGTTGTCCCGATTTCTCAACTTTTGCTTTTTTCACGCCCATAAGGTTTTTTTCTGATAGAGAATTGAATTCAGCACCTTTCTTTTAGGCTAACTACATACCATCCAGCGACTCGCCCTCGTTGTCAGTGATTGTGATCTGATGATGCTCCTCGTTTCCTTTCACACCGCAATCAATGGTAAGCGGCTCGCCAACAAGGGCTCCAACCGAATGCGACTCATCATTCCAGGTAATTTCATCTGTAGTAATATTAGCATTCCAATGCATTAAAAGCGGTGTATGATTTAAGAAGTCCGAGAGGTGAAAATTTGAAGGGATGAACTAAATAATTAAGTTAGATTCTTCTAAAAACCAAGGACTTATTGCTCTCAAAAACTAAATCACTTCAGTGCTCATTAAAACGAAGTATTACAAAACAAATACCAGCTTTAACAAGTTCTAAAGAAGCAAATTTGGCTTATTTAGTTAAATTCCAGTGGGCGCGTTGCAAAAGTTTTTGCTTAGTAGGTATTTTAAGTATCACATGGAGCCTTTTTCTTTAGGTATGTGGTTAAAACCATTTGTGATAACTCACTCAGCACAATAACGCGAACTTCTCTTGAGAACATTATACCTCCAAGAGTTCTCGCTCGACACTGGTAAGATCCCTCATCTCGTTTATGAATCGCTGTGAAGTGAAGGTTTTTTTTCCTGTACCGTGTACCGTGCTCTAGCAAACCGGTAGTGAATATACTGCAAAACCAGAGAACTACGAGGTCAGTCGATATACACGGCTGGCCTTTTTGACCATTTGCTCTTTTCCTACACCAAAATGCACTGGGGTGAAATATAAGCCTACGCAAACACATGAATAGGATATGTGTAGCTGTGCTAACGAACGAGAAAAAAAACTGGCGTGAAATTCTGGCTAAGCCACCTGGGTAAATATCGAAAACACAGCATCAGAGAGATAATATTGTGATATTATAGGACTAAAACTAATAGAAAAATATTCTTGGAAAAAAATTTTTCCTAGAAAACACGATGGGGCGGCATGAACGACAAATTGTATTTGGGAATATGGGAATACGGTAACTGTGAGCAAAAAATTATGCTAAAAAAATAACACATGCATGGTAGGCAAATTAATGTCAAATCGTAGCACACCTCGAAGAACTGCTACCATCGATTGGTCTAGCTCCCTTTTTGTGCCACTGAAGATCGGAAATATCGGCAATGTCATCTCTTGCATAGACGCACTCAATCATAAGCGGCTTTCCTTAATGGAATTCATGTTAATGTATCACAAAAGTGTATGGTAATGCAAACCTTGTCGAAGAATAAGGGTGTTCTCCGGATCCAAGTGTTTTGAAGACAACCTTATCGGATTGCGTTCCAAGCCTTCGGCAGAAATCCCGTCACCGTAAATGGAATCGGCGTGGCCTGTAATGTCAACTGGAAGTCGGATCTTACACTTTTACATGCACGTCTATGTTAATATTTATTCAACTCTCACTATTTAGCCATGTCCATCTAGTTTATGATCACTTCCTAGATTTCTTGGTTTCACACCGAGGAATTAACATTTGGAAAAACGTTGTTAAGTGGTATGCTCACATGTATATCCATCCGAGGGTTGCGCCGTAATTATGCTGCACATTCATGGGGAGAACGCAAAAATGCTCGCTCTGTTGCGGCTGACTGAGCAACTCATGATGGTTGTTGGAATCCACTCCCACGCTCGGATATACGATATGAAATGGATAATGGAGCTATGCACATGAAGCACCCAACTAATGTAACACATTGGATGAGAGAATTTATGGCATCGCAGCCGGTTCGAAGTGGTCCGTTTTTGGTGATGAATTGTGAATTACAGCCAGATAATTAAGGGTTTTTGTCGGCCATACTTAAAAGATTTAGCAGGCGGTTCGCCTTTCCTTAATTAGCGGGACAATGCACGATATCATAGTCGATGGCTTAGAGTCGTAATACGGTTGCCAGTGGACTTAGACACATCTTTTGGAGGGTTTTCACGAGGACTTGACAGAAGCATACTCATTTTAGTAGTCTATGCTAGTTCAGATCATATGTTTGGCTACAACGGGTCTATTTGCTCTTGACTTCTCACCTACGCTATAACTGAGGGCCGCTCTCTAACTGTGTTTGAGGTTCTACACCTCGTATTTGTTGGTGCGTTTGTCGGCTGCAGTGCATCCTTGTCTCCTCTATTATGTCACAATGTCATGTGAAACGTCTCCATAAAATTTGCATAAAATGCATATCAAGGTGCCGTGATGCTAATAAGGTTTCAGAGCAAAATATTAACCGGACGTGGAAAAACATTGAGCTTTTGGTAATAGTGGTGAATATAAGTCGCGGCAGTGAGTGCAGAATTCGGACAAAGGAAGATGTCCAGTAATTATTGCTACATATGGCAACAATTAGCTCGCTTGCGCAACACAGCTACAGATGGTTGGCGCACAGCACACTGATTTGGCTCAGCAAACATATATCGAGTGCAAATTAGAATTTTTCAGCCTGTTTCTTTTTATTCGCTTATCTAATAATTTCACACGCGTAGCTAACGATGGTGGGTAGGGCAGCGAATGAGTGACAGTCGTAATCACATTTTACATCGGCTGATTATGATAAAAGGCGGGTAACCCGACAATTTATTAAGTGCGACAGATTTATGTTCGTTATGGAGCGTCGACACACCAGACGCAATCCGGAAATTTGCATATTAGCCTAGCATTAAACACGTTATGCTTCATCTCATACTAGGAGATGAACAGCACAGCAACTACGCTGACTTATTAGTTGATGCAATATTTTGACGAGTCTGCATACCTACTTACCTTAAGTCGTCACGCAATACTTGTATAATACAGATTACACAAAAATCGTAGAAAAAGTTGAGACCTTACGACAAACAAGAATTTTACGCGATTGCAGTACAAAGTCTTGAAATTCGACAGCTGTCAGAATCAAACCTGCCGCACCCCAACAGAGTATGAACTCAGGCAGGAATGCCCATTATGTCAATGAACACCACTAATTATTTCTGCGATTGTTATGAAAGATGGGATAAAATACCTTATAAATGGAATTTAGATGGAATTTATAGCCAGTTGGCAACTCATTTAATGGAATGCGTTTCAAAGTGTCTGCTCACCCACAGCGACTTCCACATCGATTCTTCTTAAGCAGTCAACGAACGCATAAGAAATGAGTTTACCACTAAATCCTACTGAGTATACCCCAACAATAGGCAGTTAGCTAATACTTTATATTGCACGTTCATCAATATACTGACTTAACCTTGCGCACTCTTCCGAATGAAAATGCTTTCTCATAATCGCTTTTGCTCTCTTGAAAAGCTGCAGTATTACAGAATTTGTGAGACATTTGTATAGTGATTTGTTGAAAGTTAAGGACAAGATGCTGTGACAGCCGCTTACATATGTTGAGACAATGGATAGAGGAACGATGTACAGAGATGGGCAAACAAATTGGCCTTTGACCGCCACCTTGGACACGACATGCTTGTAAAAACCGGTCACTTCACCTGTGTATGGTGTTAACTTAACCGCTTAGCAATCAAGCTACTTGTTGGATTTTTTGAATCGTTTGATAATCGTCCCGTGTTGATTCGACTTTCACATGTTTGAGTATGGATAGAAGGGATCCGCTGGTGAACGAGACGACAGACCCTAGAGAATTCCACGCGACACAAGTTCAATCGCCATTCCACTACTGAATTACACAGACGTGATAGCTCTAGTACTTGGTCCAAGGTGAATAGTGAAGGCCATTAAACCCTACAGAGTATACCTCATCAATAAGCAGTTAACTAATACTTTATATTGCACCCTCATTAATGTACTGACTTAACCTTGTGCGCGTCACTAAACATTCTGACAAACAATGGCTGACGAAATATCTATGTTAAATGACATAGCAAATAGACTACACACTGGAGTTGATCTCTTTATACGTGGTGAAAAACTAAACTCGTGCAAAACCCAATGAGTAGAACTGAAAGAGGATATTAAAAGATTCGAGTAAAGAGATAAATTCAGCAATAGTCAAGGTCACAGTGTAAAGGAGAGTCAGCTCAAGTATGATTAAAAATAACGACAAAGCGAATGGAACAAAACTGACCCGTGGTGGCATGAGCGCAGCGTAGCTGATCTCGTAGTAGTAGGAAAAAAACCAGCAACTTCATTCTAAATAAAATAGAAAAGAATAGAGCTAATGAGAAGATGTATGAGTAAACGGATGTATGTATGCTTTTGGTGTTTGGTGAAGAATGAGAGAGAGCGTGGCTCTCTTTTCTCCGCCCATCTGCATACAATACTGGGATAAACAACCTGTCACTTCGTTTCACGAAATTTTGTTTTAAGCTGAATAAAAACTGTGGAGAGGTAAGATCTCTAATTAAAAATCTTCTTTTAAGCCACAATTTTTTTCTGAGGAACATGTTAGAAAAATCGGGAGAGCACGGAAACAACACAGTTATACCAAGATTAGAACACATTGATGATGAAAAACCTCACCATCCAAAAAATCAAGTTAACGAGCAAAATAAAAATTAGTGGATAGGATTACAATAAGTCAGCAGTTCTGTGAGAAGAGGCACTTGACTCTTTCCACTTTTTAGAACAATCTGTACAATGGTGATCACTGCCAAAAACTCTTACTGTGCTTGATATGAACTCATGAGACTTAGGAAGAATGATTTCGACTAGAACGTTTTTCGCTTCTACCAGTTTCCGTCCTTTACACAAATGATTTATTTCAATTGTTCACGAGTGGCCATTAAAAGAAGTCAGAGTATCTGTTTCAAGGTGTTCTTCTTCTATATGAGCAACACAACAACTTTACCTCCAGTGAAAATTCATTTCAGTTTAAAAGGCAAAAAACTGTTTTCGTCCGATTTTTAATGGGTGACTTTGTAAGCATTTATGCAGACGATAAAGCGAAAACCGGAAGGGAATCATTTCAGACGTGATTGAACGGCTCGAATAGGATTTGTGTGAAGTACTAATGTGTGGGAAGAATTACAACTGTTGATGATCTTATCGTCAGTAAATGCCACGAATCTCACACTGGTGCGTTGTTGTTCTTTCTATCAATGAAAGAACATGCCTATCTCTCATCGGCACATGAAAAAAGAAAGCACCCCTGATTCAACGTTTGTTTTTGTTTCCGCCTTTGTACTACAACGATTATGGGAGCCGCAATTTGTAGCCGACAAATGAGCCCATCTTAACTGACGTGTTTGCCCGGTCACCTGTCGTTCGCCGTTGTTCCGTCAATTACAGAATAGAAAATTGCCTACGGAACTATGCAGAAATACGTTGAACGACGTGCGCGTTACTTCAAATAGCTTCATCGACACAAATAGTTTCTTTTTAAAAAGTTAAACGAGTTCCTATTTCGCAACTACATTGCATTAGTTGTGTGTTGGAAATAACAGACGGGTGCAGTGGTTTAAATGAGTAAGCGATAATCTTTAGAATTGTAGTTGAAGACATGAGATTGTACAGTGAAATTTGGACGTAATCTAATAGTCAGCGAGAGTTATATATCCATTACTATGAAATATGAAGAGACCAAGCAAGTTAACAAAGTTTTACCACTTCTGCTTCCTGCTTCATACGCGGGCACAAAATTATCGCGTAAATTTCGGACACATGGGAAACGGTTGCCAACCATCTGTGTTGTTGAGAACAATACAAAACTAGAAACAATATTTTTTGAAGCGGTGGGATATCTGGTGGTAGTGACTCACTCCTAATCAGAGGCAAACGAGCTTGGTGGCGTCATGTCATTACCAGTATATTGACTCGAAATTATCCAGACAACAACTCATTGCTGTGCGTATCACATGAAATGTGATTTCAGTCATTTCACGACATAATGTAATTATTTTGTCTGGATAACACACAAATTTGCCAGGTGCGTACGAGATAGACTCGACAGAAATCTGCTACTGCGATTATCAACCGACTAGCATCAATGAACATCTACAGGAAGTTCTTCTACGAAAAGTAAAAACTCGTAACCTTTCAGCAGCGATAAAACGTTTATTAATATAGTTAGTTATTGACGGGAATCAATCCTCTACTGTGTAATTTTTAGTTTACATTAGAATATTTAGTTAAAAAATTGTATTCTCCATAAACTTCCTTATCCGTGGAAGAGGCGAAATTCGTTTAATGCATTGAAAGAAACGATTTTTTTTTGCTACTTAAAAGTTCGAGGATAGTACGACTAGCTAACCTTTAACTTTTTACAAAAGATAGAGCATTTAACTACTAGGAAATGAGGGAAACCTTTAACTAACGATTAGCTGATTAAACAAAACAGATATACTTCAGCGTTATCTACCGATGAAAATGATAAAAACTCTTCATACGCATCGCCTTTCCTAGTGTACCACATAACTGTGATGAAGTAATGTTATTTAACGTTAGGCTGAGAACTGCAGCCTAAAGTGCTAATTAGTTTATCCATCACGCAACATTGTAACTGAACAAATTCATCGTGGGAGTCAAAGGCGGTGCTCACTGGAAGGTATAAGGGATAAACGATAGAGCATTCGGCATTGGTAAATCGATGAGGGATGCGCCAAGTATCCGACTTGATCATGTATCGCTAGAGGTGATTGAATTCATATCTGGCCTTGCAGTGGGCTTCCAATATATCGAGTCCGTCTTCTTATCCCCTTGGCAAATTCGATAGAAACCTGTCGAACACGGATGGATGGAACGGTATGCGAAGTTCAAAGCATGGGATCGAATCGACGACGACGCGTGTGTTTTAGGACATCTCTGAGCACTGTATTGCAGGCGCCCAGTTAGAATGAGAATTTAGAAAATCGACGTAGTCAGTTCAATAACGAAAGTTCAGATTTGATTTTCTTCGTATTTTTGTTGAGCAAACGCGAGGTTGCTCGCGTTTGCTCAACAAAAATACGAAGAAAATCACTTGATCAATGCCGAGGTTAATAGAAAGTCGGTCGTGGCAGTTCAGATTTGAGTTCTCATGAACTGCTGCCGCTGTAACCGCGTTTTTTTTAAATTTTCTCTTTATTTTATAAATTCATAAGTGCAATAGACGTTGAATGTTTCATTTCATCAGGAGCTTATCAGATTTTGTGGGTAATATTACCTATAGTAACATTTCAACATTTTTTAAAATGTTTTTGGCGACGGTAAAATAGAGGTGCTCTAAGTTCTTTCACACGTGTAGCATTCAGTGGTGACAAGTAACGTCCTTGTTAGCAACCGTCTTCGATGGATAATAGACAAGGCGTCCTTGCAGGACTCATATAGGCAAACAATCACGCTCTAGAAGCTGCTATTTTTTTAAACCTTAATATGCAGGAAACAGAAGAGAGTGTCGATTTAATGGAAAATATGGAATAGCAGTGAACTCTTTTGTCGAAAAGCGCAGCAATTGTCTGCTGAACGAAGTAAAAATCGATTACTTCGGCGGCGCAAAGTTTATTCTAAACTGAGACGAATTGACTTAGGTGTTGGTTGGTTAAAGACAGATTGAGAAGTCCCTTAATTATTTTTGTACCAATATTTAGTGGCATGGCCTATTTCCATAAGGTGGCCGCAAAAATGTTCTCAATCTAGCCTTTAACTCCATATAAATTTGCGGCACAATCTGGACTTTGTTAGGCGAAATAAAAACCGTTACATTTTGTGCGATGTGTCTGGACGTTGTCCTGTGTGGTCGGTCGATTACTTCGTGACGTCCTACTGCTGCATTCATTTTTCCGGAATTCAAGAAATTGGAATGGCTGATTTCATTAGCAGAGTAGGAAAATGTCTTCATAAGCTTTCCTTGATACAACTAGAACTTGGATGTTTCGTTTTTGTTCATCTACGTTTAAGCCTAAAACGTCGTTCCTACATAAAGCATTGAGAAGCGGTTCAATACGATGAGTAAATGGATCGTTTTTATTGCGACCAAGAACAACAGAAAGGGCTTTCTAGCAAGCTTCCTTTGTCACTCCATTCTTACGAAACACATTGGTGTCGTGGGTCCAAGAAGTTGCAGTTTTTAAATTCAATCTGTCCACTACCGAACAGACAAAATGGTTTAAATTATATTTTGCCAAAACTGACTCGCAATGTAACATGACACAACAAAAGTTGAAAGTAAAGTGCGCGTGTAGTTCTAGTGTCAGTGATGTTGTTCAATACGTACAAGAGCATGGTTTGACCCTGTCGAAATCAAGCAAAGTCTCCCTTCCTTTTGGGATCTGGCAAGTTTCTAGCGATCAACAAGACCTACGAGCGGAACGAGACGAGAGTTCGAGGAGGAATAAACTCGATCAGAATTCAGCGAAATTCGTGAAGAACACAAAGGTTCCCAAGAGCATCCGAGCCCACATGAAAACCCGAAGACCCTCTTGGGAACATGTACAACATGAAAACAATCATATGAAAGAAGTGTTAAATTCTCCACACAACGAGACCTGCCTGATGATGCAACAAAAAAGAACGAAAAGAAGAACAATTTAAATTAGACAGTTAAGGTATTTTTTTCTATTACAAATAGTTCTTCACAGGTTTCTCGTGTCACTGTTGCTCATGCTTAGCAAAATCGCGGCAGTACCAAATTTACAACTAATGAAGGATAAACTCTCGGCATTGATCGAACTCTAAGAGATGCGCCACGCATTCGACTTCATTAAGTATCGTTGGAGGTGACTGAGTGCATATCTGACCTTTACAATGACTCGCGATAGCCTACAGATGTCACAAGTCAGTGCTGCTACCCTTCGAGACAAGTCTGGTGGAAATTTGGAAATTTGCCGACCCCGGAGGGTTTCCACTTATACGCCGACAATTTCTCTATGACCCGACTACTTATATAGGTGAGGCTTCCACTCCGCCAATCTAACATTTTTACATTTTTCTCAGTTTACCATTTTTTTCCTGTGCTTTAGGAGTAATTTTAAACCATTATTGTAGAAGAGTTTTGATTTTTTACACACCGGGTGGGGTAGCTGCAGGTATAAATTTTGCCTTCCGGAAAACCGTTGTGCCTCTTTAGGCAGGAACCTGTTTTTGAAATATATATTAAAAATATTGCTAGTGAAAATCCAAGCGTCGACGGAAAGGGAAAAAAGAAAACGGAAATTGAAAGACGACAGTCCCCAGAAGGTCAGTAATGCATTGTGGCAGAATTATAGAACTTACC